AACCTCTAGTAATGGAGCACCTACAACTTCTGGATGCAAGCCATTTCACTAATCAGGAAATTTCTCCTTAATTCTATATAGAGATATTATATATATTGAGATAAAACAAAGTTTAACCACATTTTTTTCAAGAATTGACAATTCAGAATAGTTTACCTTTCATGAGAGTTTCCCCAGTAGGACCTAATATAATTAGACAGCTTTATAATCCTGATATAATGGAGGGAATGTTATGAATCTCTATCTCTCCTGGAAAAATGCTGTGGCTTTTCATTTGCTACATAAGCTCAAAATGTTTATATCCAAACATTTATTGATCAAGTGTGTTACTTATATATTACAATATTACCATAAATAGTATATCCTCAGCTGCAGAAAACCTTTAAGTTCAGCCAAAATGTTGACTTATTTCTGAAAGCATAATAGCTAGCAGTAATATCTATCTTCTGTATTGGATAAAGCAAAATTTTCTGTATGATCAGAAAACTAACCAAAGATACTCTATGTTCTTTTCTATCATTTATTGCCTTGTTCCACCACTAGGTGGCATAAAGTAAACGTGACAGAGTAAATGTGGTTTCTCTCTCTCTCTCTCTCTCTCTCTCTCTCTCTCTCNAGAGAGAGAGAGAGAGAGAGAGAGAGAGAGAGAGAGAGAGAGAGATGGCATGACAAAGTTGGCATCTTTAAAGTGCAAAATTCAAGTGGTAATAGTTTCTTGTCTTTCAGCTGAAAAATAGACAGCCTCAAATGCTTCGGGGTTTAGCCTGCAGACCAAAGTCCTTCTTCTTCCTTGAACATCTGACTCCCATCTAGCTGTCAGTCATAGTTGTTTTTCAACTGCGCTCACTAGATTTGTCTGTATGTGGCCTCTTGTCTTCAAAAGTGAAGGGCCAGCCAAGGGCAAAATAATGGACCTTTCTACTTAACTCTCTGAAGGAAATTGGAAAGCAATTTATCTCTCTGAAGGAAATTGGAAAGCAATTTATCTCTCTGAAGGAAATTGGAAAGCAAAGAGGAAATGAATGATGTCAAGGGATGTGGCTCCTAAGGAGTGGCCTTTCTATTTCAAAGTCCTGCCCTTGTTGTCAGCATAGTTGATTAATACGTATTTGATTTATTTAATTTGTATCCCACCTTTATTATTTTTACAAATAACCAGGGCATTTTTTCTCATAGAACGCCCAGAACAGAGTTCCGGCACCTTTTTTGGATGGAACCTTGTAGGGTAGGCAAGACAGGTTGTATGACATGTGTGAGTTCCGGCATCTTTTTTTTTTTAGAAAAAAAGCACTGCAAATAACTAAGGCAGCGAACATATCCAACATACTTTCCTCCTCCTATTTTCTCCACAACCACCTCACTCTGTGAGGTGAGTTGGACTGAGAGAGAGTGACTGGCCCAACTCCCAGCTGGCTTTGTGCCTAAGGCGGGACTAGAACTCAAGGTTTCTCAGTTTCTGCCCTAGTGCTTTGATCACTAACCAAACTGGCTCTCTTTAATACTTTTATTACAGGCCACCAAAATGTCATCGAAAGACTCCATTCATTACATGTTATAAAAGCTGCTGCTGAAGACCTCCTAAAATAGTATCTGGCCTATTTCCCACTGTTCTGCTGATCCTGATAGATCAGACATGTCAAACTCGCGACATCACATGACGTTGCGCAACATATCAGGACGGTTTTGCCATTGCTGGCAATGACATCCCTGTGATAGATTGTGTAGATTTTTAAAACTTGCAGAAATGCATATGATATGTTGGTTAGGCCTATCTCTCAACCTCTTTTTTACTTGTTCATTGTTATGCATTTTTAATATTAAGCACAACTTGTTTTTTTTCATCACAATTTATATACTTTGTTATTTTAGATTACTAATTACTTGTTTCCACCACTAGATGGCATAAATTCTTTGCTGTTCATTGTTAAGTTTTTTTTCATGTCCATAGTGAATGGCCTTTAAATTGTGAATTAGACAGTTTAGAAATTCCATTGACACTGTCAGGCTTACCTGAATCTTAACTTCAATAGTGTTGTGCATGAGCAAGATAAAATTATAGCTATAAAACTGAATAATTACTTTGGATGGTTTGAGTTCTCATTAAGTTATCCTTCCTTCCTTCCTTCCTTCCTTCTTTTATTTGCAGACAATGTGCCTTGGTGGCCCTTGAAGATGTGAAAGTTTATCTAATGGAAGAGTCTGGCCAGATTGCTGTAAGTGCACACCTGATCATTGGGACATAATGTTGCAATGATGGGAAACTGGCTTTCAAAATACTGTTAAATTACAACTCCCAGCACCCTTAACTTTCACAGCCCT